TTTCTAATTTTGGCATCTGCTTACTCAACTGCCGGTATATAATATGATAATATCAGCTAATCGTGAAACTCGCTCATATCTAACACCCGACCGCGGATCGGCAAACCTGTGAGGAATACTAAATGATCAAGGAGTACTATACGAATGCTAAATGCAAGATTTCAAAATGGCCCAAAACATTTCCCATTTCGAATAAGACCAAGCTTGTCTGTCGATTTTCGTGTTGACCGTGCATTTCATACTGTGCATGTTTTTCACGTATTTGCCGTTTCTGTTAAAATGAAATTTTTGTCTTGATATTCAATCAATATTTCAAGTTTGAAATGAATATTTGTGATGGTTTTGGGGAAAAATATAAAAAGGGAGAAATGCCTTTCAAGATCATCTTAATTCCTTTACAAATGCATTTTACTTTTATATAAAATAAGTATTTTTATGTTTTAAGTGAATATGTTTGAATTATTGAGCAATAAGCCGTAACCAAAAGGTTTAATCAAGACGAAAACATAATCGAAAACATAACCAAAAAGGTTAACCAACGCCGACACGTTTAGCTTTTCATTAATGAAAAAAAAATCATTTCACGGGAGTATATAGTTAGCTGTCATTAGGTCACGGAGGCCCCTCATATATACCTTTTGATATAAATGCAAATATTGTGTTAAACATAATTATGATATGTTGTTGCCAGTGACCTCAATGTACCCTGGCTCTACCGTAGCTCTGCCTGTTTTACCGTGGCAACATCGTGTCATCACCGGGACTTGGCCGTTTGGACATTGATTGACACGCATCCCGGTTTACTACGATTTGTCACGGTATGGATGCAGTATAGATACGGTGGTTTCCCGGCAATTCCCTGTTCCTAGTCGATAGAACACGGATTTGGGCTTCCTCTCGGTGAGTGCCGGTGAGCTCCGGTTGTATTAAAATATTTGAAGACAACCGTGGTGATCTCTCAGTTTGTTTCGGTTCACCATGGTTTGTCCCTTTACTTCACGGAATTTCAATGACCCAACGCCGGTTTACCACGGTTGATCATGGTTGACTAAACCGTGGCAAACCGGGACACCAAACCGGGACTGTGTAAATGGGGCTTAAACCGCCCTAGTATGACTGTATTACTATCAGTACTAGCAAAAAAAAAAAGGTTTTCAAATCAATGAAATTACTTAAACCCAAATCTGATCGCGACAATATCATAATACTTTTAATATGTTGTCAATCAGGGTTATAAATGAAAAAGGGAGACAAAAGAAAAATACTTTTGAGACTTGAATTTCAATTGTATCTTTTTAGAATACGCTTTCTACCGTCAATATTACATTATATAGCAGCTCAAATCCTCGATATTTAGGTTCATAAAAGAAAACAATTAAAACAAAGATACATTTTATTAAATGGCAATTACAGTAAAAATAACTGTGAGAGCGTTTTAAATTAAAATACTACTATTTTTAATCATGATTTTATCATGAATTTATATCTTGCGACATTTTAATTTAACGGTAGTGTTGCGACATTTAACGGTAGCGGAAATTCGTGCGACATTTAACGTTAACATTGCGACATTTAACGGCAAATAATTTTGCGACATTTAGCGGCAGTTGCGACATTTAGCGGTATTGGTGCGATATTTAGCGGTAAGTGCGACATTTAGCGGCGTTGCGACATATAACGGCGCCACAAACACAATGCTTTACGGAAAATATATTTAGTAAATATTTTTGTCATTTGCCTACAAATCAGAGGTGCTTCTTGCACTTAAGACTCTGTTAATCGACAGATGTATATATGAGCCGTGTCACGACAAAACCAACAAAGTGCGTTTGCGACCAGCATTGATCCAGACCAGCCTGCTCATCCTCGCAGACTGATCCTTGCTATTCGCTATCAGTTTCTCTACTTGTAATAGAGTTGGTAAGCGAACAGCATGGATCCTGATCAGACTGCGCGGATGCGCAGGCTGATCTGGATCCATGCTGGTCGCAAACGCACAATGTTGGTTTTGTCACTACGCGGCTCATTTCACATTCAGCATGCTTTCCTTCAGACAATCAGTATCTCACATGTTCTCATAAAACCATTATTACACTATTAAATTAAACATATTACCCCTTTCTACAGAATGAAAATATATTCATTTCTCAGGCTTTATGTGCCTTTAAGCTTTCTAATGTAAGAATTTAATTATACTAATGCGATTCAAGTTTGACATTATTTAGATATGAAATTTCGTGACTGCAAACTTGAATATACTGAAACATATATGAACTTGTTATAACAGGATGGTATAAAAGAATAGTAATTTACTTTAGAAATTGTAAAAATACTTGTTCATTTTTTATGCAATTTGTGTACTGTAGTTCGCTTTTGGGTGATATTTAGTGTACTTGATATCAAATTTGTAGCTAGTGTTTCTACAGTCTTCTTTACAGGGTCAAGGAAATGTGCTTCTAAAAATAAAACGGCATTCCATTTAAACTATGTGCGCTAAAATCGAAGTTTATCAAATCCAAAGGCCATAATATTTGGATTAAGTCTAAGAAGCTATAAATGAGCCGCGACACGACAAAACCAACATAATGGGTTTGCGACCAGCATGGATCCAGACCAGCCTGCGCATTCGCGCAGTCTGATCAGGATCCATGCTGTTCGCTTACAAACTCTATAACAAGTAGAGAAACTAATAGCGAACAGCATGGATCCTGATCAGACTGCGCGGATGCGCAGGTTGGTCTGGATCCATGCTGGTCGCAAACCCATTATGTTGGTTTTGTCGTGACGCGGCTCAAATATGATGAAGATTTGTGTGCGGCATGTTTTGTCTTTGTTATTAACTGATGTAACTGATGGTTACAGTATCGCTGCAGCTTTAGAAATAGGGTTATTTTAACAATATCAAAATACGAATATTTCGAAAGAACAGTAATTCAGACTCATAACTGAAAAGGAAAAGAATATGATTCACTTATATATTTTAATTATATTGATTTAAACCATAATAATAAAATAATTGCACATGTAACATATAAACAGTTTACATTTATCCCGTGTTTAGTAAATTTTCCTCTTTAAAAGAAGAACTTTGCCTTAACGTGGTAGGAATAACTGGTGTAGACGAATCTACTCCCGCCAAATGTTCGTAAGCAGACGGCTTTAGATGAACACTTTTATTATTGCTTTTATCTTTATGAAGTCCGTCTGCCTGTTCATAAGTCTGCGTATCGTCTGGAATTTCTATGGAAACGGCCTCGCCCTCGAGGCCGCTTAGATCATAGCAACTTACGTCCTCAAGAGGCTTTGAAGCTTCAACACTTTGTAACCAAGTCTGACATTTCCTATTATTATCTTCTTGGAATATTCTTTCATTGAAAGACGTTTCTCTACACAAACCTATATCGTCTGGTTTAGTTTCAGCCAAGGTCATTGTCAATGTTTCAGCTGGAAGATCACTTTCCTCTATTGCAAACTGACTCCGCGTTCGGTGTATCCTCGCACGGAGTCTTTTTGGTTTACCAGTAGTTTTATTAGCTATTCCGTCAGAACTAAAACTTTCATTAGAACTCCGAGCGATTTTGCTGATATCGGTAAATTCGGATTCTGCCATTAGTGTTTGGCTGACAAAATCCCGCCAACATGGCGGTTTTGGCGGTTTAGCGGCCATGACAGCAACATTTGGTGCCGGCCGCATGGTGTTTCTATTCATTCTACAATGGTCCAGGCAAGGATTTTCAGTTACAGAAACCACCATTGAACACGTTTTTTAAATGAGGTAGTAGAAATTGTAAGTATTTAAGATATTCAAAATGATATTAAAATAGTTTAAAAAAATCATTAAAAATAATCATCAAATTTCATTTTCATTTACTTGGATAAAACTGTCGATTACGATGAAAATGTTAGGCATCCAACTTCAGTAGCGCGTAACTACGGCAGTATCAGTATTTCGAAGTGCATGCTTGCAAGGTGTTGTCAGACGCCAGGTGATGATAATCGCTTAGTGCTAATCCTCTACTTTATAGCGATCAAAACTCTGCTTCTATTCCAAAGAAAACAACAGACAATCTACAAGCTGTACATGAGGAGCCTTTGTGTGTTATATTTTTTACTATTCTCACTCTCTCTCACACACACAGACGCTTATATTAGTTGATCGTTATCATCAGAAGCTTGTGTTGTTGATTTGTATAGTCTCTCCAAGACAAGAAAACTTTTGTACATGTTGGTATATGTTGTAGAAATATTGGTAGCTAGAACTACTACAAGTGACGTAGTTTATGTAAATGTGATGTAGCTGGTATGTAAAATCCCAGGAAAACCACCTGTGAAAATACTATAAACTCCCAGTTTATGCCAACGTGTTTGCCTTGCACGTGTTGAGACCAAGCATTTCCGTCTTTCTCAAATTCTGCTCATATGTAAGTATGTATTCTTTTTCTTCCTGAAAATAAATTAAAGAAAGCACGTGATCATTTAAAAAAAACATCAAAAATTAAACAATGGCAATTCTTTACAATTAATGTTTATACTATAGCTTATTCTTAATGGAATTCAACGGAACCGGAAACGTATTGTCTATGTCTAAACGTTAATCAGGGCTGACGCAGACGGCAAATGTAACAGAAAAAGTAAATCGAACAGTCAATAAGATGCAGGGTGCAAGATAGGTTGTTTCCTCTAACACTGACCATTTGATTTACTTCTCTTATTTTAACTTTGTAAAAACAAGAATTATATTAAAGCTTAATTGTAAAGGTTTGAAGAGTATATAAAACGCTCCTTGAATCCGTTTCCTGAAACTGCAATCAAACCTGTGTTTACGACCACCTCTAAATGAAGATAACCCTACAAATAAAGGTCAATTTTCGATTATCTTCATTAGAAATGGAATAAAGCAACATTCAAATAAAGACTACTTGTGAATGTCTATAGATAATGGTTTGTATCTCCCTTGGGAGACCTATATTCACAGGTGTGACTGTACCCAGAACTGGTCTCAGGTGAGGAAATGTGGCCATGACACCCAGTAAGACCCGATCCAATGATTATTGGATTGAGAGGCAGACGATTTCTTACAAGGCCACTTCTAATTAATGTGTACATGCAAAAATAAAAATGTTGTTACTTCTTCTTGTTAAGTTTATTTGACGTAAATATTAAAGCACATAAATTGATTATGCAAACATATGAAACTAGACCAAGATTCACTTAAAAACCTAAACATACTTAGTAAATCAAAGTTTTAAATTTATGGTCAAGGTAATGTTTTAACAAGTTTTTGTTATATTTTGGCGTGAGAATCGTGAAGCAACAATATGCACTTGTTAAAGATAACATTATTTGAAACAGGAACTAACGCTGATGGAAGTAAATTCGTTTGGTTTTATATTCCGTTACACAATGGTCGTAGATTAGAACTAATGTAAATACGTGAGTTAACTCTTCATTATGAAATACCATACCAAGATTAAATTATTATTAATTATTATTATTAAATCATCAAAGTGAAATAAAACTGTCGTTTCGCTAATGAAATCAGTATGAATGATTGTGGTTTTTTTTGTTGTTGTTGTTATTTGTTGTTGTTGTTGTTGTTAATGCTGCTGCTTCTGCTGCTGTTTTTATCGAATACAAAAAAAAACTTATTTCCCACCTTATTAAAATAAACTTTTTGCACCAAGAGATGGTCTAATAAAAATCATTATTGAATCCAGTCTTATCAATTATGTCTGGTTTGTATAATGCATCTTTTCGTGAGGGGGAAATAAAAACAACAATAACGATAGATGAGACACTAGTTCCATCTCACCGAGTATATATAGATATTTTAGGTGTTTTACAACTTAAGTAAGTCTTTCACTAATTTCCCAAAACGAATTCAAATAAATGATCTCATTTTGTAAGACACACCATCACATTTGACAGACTTTATTGTGAATAAGTAGCATTTAAACTTTAAGAAAATGGTATTCACCCTCTTTACCAATTGTATCACATACATTACATTTTTTACATTTTTACAACTTTCCTCAAACATTCAAAAATATATCCTTTTTGCTTTCTGTACAGCGTGATAAACGTACTTTTTAAATGTTTAAACTCTTAATGTTGCTTAAGATTGAGCATTTCTATGTTAAAAGTTAAAAAGAGAGAGAAAAGAATCTCTTTTTTATAAAAGATATTTGACATGAGGAAGAAATTCGTTTCCTGTACTAACATAAACGTATATTCTACAATTCTCGGTGTATTGAATATGCACGTGGTAACATGCACGTGGTAACATGCGCGTGGTAAAATAATAAACAGTTTGAAAAATATAGAAGCAGTAAAATACTTGTTCATAATGAAGACAATATGTTGCGGTTGCTCTTTTCTCATTAGTTTGAAATCTGTTCGACAATTGTTATTTCATTTTCTTACAGAAACTGCATACGCCCAACAAAAAATAATAAATGACTGTTCGTTTATGAGGCATATTGATGTAAATCTGTTGTATTTTAAGGCATCTTCTGTTATGTTATTAATAATATGTTTAATGTTTTCTCATCAAAAGGTGTCTAATTTGGTCCAACAAAATCATTTAAATAAAAGCGGAAACAATAGGATAAGGTGACTAATGCACCTGTTCTGAAACTATCTGGTTTAGTGCCCTAAAAATTGAAAGAATATTTTTCCATTAATAAACAGTCTAGGAAATCCCACTCCACCTTTGGTAAGTTCTAAGTTATACTGAAAAAAAACAACAACAACAACAACAAAACAAACACACCACTGGTTGAGTTTTTAAATGTTTTCCCCGTTTCATTGTCATGGTGGTTTTAAAGTGTCATAAGTGGATATCTAAAACATTACATAGAGAGAAATAGAGAGTCCCTAAAAAGGACAAAACGCCAACAATTGAAAATGTTGCAGGCTCGGTTTGCTTGAGCCTGTTTATCGATGCTTCTTGAAAGAGCAAGTTACTGTGCACGCCTAAACAGTTTTCAACATTTTACATGAAATGGTAACAATTTATAATTTTGAAACATCAAAACATGTTTCTTTTGAGCCAACTCCTGCCTACAGTTCTAATCTTACTTAGTTAGAATTTAGCACCAGTTCTGCATTTGGTGTTACATTAATTGAATTACAGTACCTTTTGGTGTTTAAAGATCCTGTAACACAATATTTTATGGTTTTATATCATAAATATGTAATTCTCAAATGAAGAGTTATCAATATTGTAAGTTCCAAAAAGCATTATTTGTAAAGATATTACTGAGTTCATTACTGACTTTACATTTTCACGTTCATAAATAATTAGAAATTTATTTTCTATAAAATCTAAGTCAATTTTTTCAATAAGAAATGAATGTATATATTTTAATGATTACATATAATGTCAACAAATATTTTCAGTACCTATTTTACATATTCTTCGATGTTTATAAATTGTTTTAGAAGAATAATTATATACATGTACATATATTTGTATATAAAATTTCACTTAAGTGTGGTAACAACCAGAAATACAACATACAGGGTCTTTAAATGAATTTAGGTTTATTTGTTTCTTCGGACATGATCAAACTCTTGCATATATTATTTCCGTTTTGATTCATTTTAGTTAACAAGAATGCGCAAACAGGATTCTAGTACAACTATAGACAATGACCCTTAAATGGCTTTCAGGGCTTTGTGCCACCCTACTACTTTTTGCTGTACTATATATCATTATCTGAACATGTTTTGCTCTGACTATAATTATGATATGCATATATTTTAATTTCTAAATTTTATCTAATATTGAGTTGACTCCACTGCATTATTCAGCAGGTTTTCACATTTTGAAAATGTACTATATTTATATAATTATATTATCATGGCAAGTGTCATAGAGCAATTAGACCATTTGGTCCTTTGTGCGCATGCGCTCTAGTGCCTAGGGGGAACATTGATTTCCGATACATCGATGATATTGATTACGGAAAAAGTCGAAGTTGGTCGACGATACAGGTTTTGTTGATAGATGTACAAAATATACCTAACAGTCAATTGCCAAGAACTAAAATATAATGAATACATTTGTTTATATTTAAATGTTTAAAAGTAAATAAAGTTGAAGTCTGGTATAAAATATGCTGCATTCGTAACTTACCAGGTTGAAATTACATTCAAAAAGCTAAATATAGTCGAAGCTATCAATTTTCAACGAATTGTAAGTAAATTAACGTTTTGTATTTTAAGATATAATATGCTCAAGTTTGATATTTAAAGATATTGATAATCTCTGCAGACTCTATTTAATTATTAAATAAACATGTTTTAAGTAAAACACAAATGTAGAAATTTCATGTTTTAAACTCTATTAAAAAAAATGGCAGGTTTTCTTTAAGAAAGGGTCACCATAACATGACCTGTAATAGGGAATGCACATTCCTATACATAATTTGTGGCAGATTCCTATACATAATTTGAGTATTCACTTATTTAAATAAGACGTATTTTCAGGATGAATTTATCTAGATTTTAACAAGTTTCTGCAAAAATAGTAATTTACCCAAGATGAGCAAAGTATATCTTTAAAACGTTAACCTGATTCTACCTATGCGACAAGTGCAAACCAAGATCAAACTAGTTTATGCTTATTTTCCTTTTATATTTTCTAACTATTTAAAATATTGACTTTAACTTCACTTATATATGAATTAATGTTTCGGTTTCCTAGTAATTTACTAATTACAACCACCACTGTCACACATTTAAAGTAATTGTAAGTTAACGTGATGGCTCAATATATTTATAAGTTTTTTTTTATTTCTTTTTTTTATTATTTCGCATTATAAGTAATCATTAAAATCTAAGTTTTCATTTCTTATTGAAAAATTTGGCTTAGACCTTATCGAAAATAGATTTCTAATTACCTTCCTTTATTTACATGAAATATAAATTCGGTAATATCTTTACAAATAATGCTTTTTCGAACTTACAACATGTACAATATTGATAAATCTTAATTTGAGCATCAGATTTATGAAATAAAACCATAAAAAGGGAATCCGTGCTATCTAATCATGGTCTGCAATGTTCACTATTCAGTCAGTACATGTTTTGAAATTTTCCCTAAAATAATGAGTAGTATTGTCCAAACTCACTGATGAATAAGTAAGTTCATTTAAGATATATAGTATAATAAGGATTTCATATAATCAGGAAAATGTCATAGTGGATTCCTATTGTATGTTATGTTGAACCTATTTCTCACAATCCACATTTACAGTAAATTTATTTCACTTTAATCATCTTTTTTTTTCTTCTAAAATTCATAAAACCTGACAAATCGCTTTTTTTCTTGGTTTTCATTTGATAATACATGTAACTACATTTTCAATATCTAGACTATTTCAAATCAGTATGTTACTTCACTATGACAATATATCCTTTCGAAATTTCTTTCTTTTTTGTATCAAAATAAACATTTTTAAGTTGAACACTATAAATCTATACTGGGCTAATTATGGTCATTACAATTTATTACCCCTCACTTTTTTCGTAATGCTAATTTCCCATAGGCCTCTGGGAGTTATTCTTACTGTTAATGCAAGTGTACCACGTGACTACGAATTTTGTACTGTTACATAGGTAACAGTATTTTTTAACAGTATAAAATCTGGTCACGTGGTCTATTTTCTAAATAAAATGAAATAAAATGGCCGCCATTTTTTTTCTCGATTCATTCTTATTTTCGACGATAGGGCATCGCTCAAAATAACTATTACTCTGATAAAATTTAGTTCTTTGCACCCTAGAGTCCCTTTCGCGTATTAAATATCTTTTTGTTGAATAGTCAACAGGAAACATCCGTTTTCAACGGAAGTAATTGTAATGTAAATAATTTTGTGTCAAACTGGAACATGCAGACAATTAAAGCATGCAACAAAGGATAATTTAACAATTTTAACCAGTGAAACTTTACAGATAGAGTTGGTGGACAGACATCTGTAGGATATCATCGTTATTTTCTAAATGCACGTTGTCAAAAACCATGCGAAGAATATTCTGGATGCAGAAGATTCAGATTTCACAGATCATAACCTTATAAATGGGTTAGTGTTTTGTTTTCTGAATAAAACACAGCTTATTTTATGTTTATGACTGGCAGATATCATCACTTGCCTAAAGAATAAAAGAAAAACAGCTTCTCAAGTAGGCCTACAGTGCACTTAAAACTTGCAAGGTAAGGACAGTTTAGTTATTGCTTCTCTTGGCTTATTTTTGTTACTTGCCAAATTCAAATCATCACAGTATTTGTTCGGGGTAATAAAATAAATAACAAATGGGTTTGTGGGTAACAGTAAAAATATCACCCCTCGTATAAATACTGTTACCCTCGGCTACGCCTCGGGTAACAGTATTTTCCTCGGGATGATATTTTTACTGTTACCCACAAACCCATGTGTTATTTATATAATGTGTTTCAATGATACCAATACAATAGAACCTCAATTAAAATAATTAGTGTTTGTTATTGTACGCCACGCTAAATATCTCTTAAAAAATTCAAACCATGTTCAGACTTACAGGCGAACAGTGCAAGACATTGATCAGATGGGCTGATCTTGGTCTGCAGAGTATATTGGATGGCGCATGCGCGAAATCACCACTAAATAGGAAATGTAATGTGTCAAAGCAGTGACTACATATCACAAAAAAAATGTCTGATTGTACTATGTTTTTTTCCGATTGTTTTGTTTTTGTTATGTTTTGTTATTCATTTTTCTAATTTTTTCAGTATATTTTGCCAGAACTAGCTTTACAACCTTTCATTGACTGATATCTCTATACAGTGAATTTGCATTAAAGACCACCTCCGAATAATTATACCCGTGTGTATGACCCTTTGTTCGCATGTTTGACTGTATGTCAATGTACCATTGAGCCAAGTGATACATTGAGCCAAGTGATAAAAAAAGTTTTTGTCAACTTATGAAAAATAAATTTCGCAACTATGAACATTTCATCGTGTAAATGTCAAAAGAAAATGACTCTCGTATGTTTTATAGGATGATTATTTCTTTAATATCTATTTTTTGTTTTGCCTCGCCTTGAATATAAAACTATTATTTATTATAACACAGCGATATATATTCGTATCGAGAGATATGAAAAACACATGTGCACTCAATAAATGGGGCAAATATATCAGGTGCACGCACAACAGTTGAACGCTCGCGTGCAGAAGTTACTGTAGACCAGTAATTTGATTAAAACCAGGATTTTCTAAAGAGAGAAAGCTAGATTTAAGTTGTTGTTGTTTTAATCAAATACATGTAGTTTTCCAAGAAAACAAAAACAAAACAAACAAAAACACTTCTTTGCCTGTGTTTAAAATAGTACTTTGCGACGTAAATACCAGTTTAGTACGAATATTTTTTTGTAAAGATTCGAAATGCTTATAGTATAGATATAAGCGGAATTATTTTAACACTTTCGATTCAATAATGATTTATTTTACATTGTTTCTACATGTTCTATATATGTTCATTTTGCAAATATTGCTCTTTCCAGATTAAAACGAGTCTGTCAATCTCAAGAAATAGAGATTTTTTTTACTTATACATGTATGTGCTTCTTTGTAATAAAATAAGGACATATGCCACTCAAGATAAGGAGTGTTTAAATTTTATCGTCTGCTGAATTGCTACAGTTTCTGATTTGTTACAGGTCCCTTGTGGCGCTATTGAAACAATGGGGCCGGTTCGATTCAAACTATATTCAGAACTGTTTTCATATCTCTATGCAGGTAATTTGTCATGGTAATGGTTAGAATCTATTTAGTAAGAAAAATTTCAACTATGGTGTGCACAGTATTGAGTAATGAATGAATTAACATGTATTTTATATCTTATTTTATACAATATGGCGACGAATTTTGACGTAAAGCAACCAAGAACATTATATAACCTTGACATTAAATTATATTGTGTCTTCATTTTACTTGACCTAGAACAGAAAATATGTTAGAGGTTGTTGCTGCTTAGCGCAGTTCATGATTTTGTGATTTGTATAGTATATATACATCCAGAAAATGTAGCATTACAAAAAGTAACAACATATAAGCTTCCCTAAGAATGTCGAATATGTTATAGTACTTTTGTGACATTCGTCTGACAAGAAAAGCAAAAGAAAAAATTGCAAGCTTTCTTAATAAAATTTCTGTGTACATACTGATGCAAAATATAGGCCACATAATACAGGTTAAAACAAGTGTTTGAAAAGAAAAAATGATAAATAAAAGTATATAATGGCCATGGAGAATATATAGATGTTTTTGTTGTGATTGATTAATAACGGTGAAAAAAATAAATTGTCATGTCACTTTTGCATGTGACTACATTACTCTAAAGATAATATAAAACATTTAAAACTGTAGATATTAAAACTGTAACATATTTCATTCATATTTCTGTTGCGAATCACCAATACAGAAAATCTAACTTTCACTTCCTGCTTTTAAAGCGGATGAAAACATTATGATTAAATGACCCTATGAACATTATTTTAAGACCCAGTGGACTCCTGAGTAAAACCACGGACCTTCTGTAAGCTAGTTGAGGAGCTTCGTCACATGAAGAATCCAAAGTGTCCGATGGGATTCAAACCTTAATCATCAAATGCACAGAGAGTGCTCCCGCTGTTTCTTGAAACATAACGTGCATACATGTATAATTTGTCTAATGTCCAAAAATATTGGGAATCTTTAAAATCTTAATAAAGTTTTCTTATATAATACGCATTTTCTTTCCAATTTTTTTGTTAAGTCCCTTTTCCTTTCCGCCAATATTTACAACACGATAAGACAAATGTAGCATCAGTAACACGGCATGTGTGGATACCGAAATGTGATATAATCAAATTGAGAAAAGCGTATCAATTTACATAATTCGTTACTCATTAGTTTAAACATATTTGTTGCAACTTATATTAATCACTTTCAAGTCAGCTTCCTGGAACCAACCAGTACTGGTGTCATATGTAGATACATGGTTGTGACCCTAATATGGCCCGAATCCATGATAACGGGGTTGAGAGATAAATCACTTTCAAGTCAGCTTCCTGGAACCAACCAGTACTGGTGTCATATGAAGATACATGGTTGTGACCCGAATATGGCCCGAATCCATGATCACGGGGTTGAGAGGCAGACATCTTAACCACTAGGCCACCGCTCCCCTTAATATGTTGTACTATATGATCAAGCGTAATTCTTTTAGCATCATTTAACTATTAACTTTACGTATCTGTTCTTTAAACGATTATATAAATATTATATAAAATCAAACTTGATTATACTTGTGTTTTAATGTTAAAAGATTATTTATATGTATCAAAGCTATCTTTAAATCATCAATGGAAACAGTTATGTACGAGAGGAAAAATATTCACAAAAATTAGACATATTAACAAAATTCATTTATCTATATGCATATTCATTGAACGGCCAAACTGTGCTAAACATTTATTTAGTCAAATATCATTCATTTTGAATATAATCCGAACAGCAGACGAACATGTCTTGAATACAGGCAGTCTACTATGACACATTATGGCTCATCCCTCACAACACGTGGAATTTGTGAAATTTGCTGACAACAAACAACTAGAACATTTAAACAACAGGTTTGTATATGTAATTCAAAGAATCTCTGTTAATATATATTTATAATGTTTTTGTCTACATTTTCTTTTGAAATCCAGGACATATTTATTTTATTTACAATAATGGTGTACCTCTTAACACATATAAAAAAGTAATGTTTGTTTTGACTGTGCCATTGATGACGAATTCCATTTTGTATTGGAATTTTAACGTCTTTAATTTACTGTTTCATTATCCTGTGAAGAAAAACCTAGAGAAAACTTGACGAAACATCATCTACGTTTAAAATGATTGAGAATTAACCTACCTAGCATAAACGGGGGCATGTTTCCGACTTCCACATATAATTAGATAATCCTGAAGACATACATTGGCCCAGATTATGGACCGGTGTACTGATTCCATACAAAACTACAATCACAACATTCTCACTCATCTTCCGCCATTTTGTTCCAGATTTCAAAATAAATGATTACTTAACAAACTTTATATGTTAACTTAAAACATTTACAATTCATTGTTCTATGAAATTAGCTATTTTTCATGTTATCTGACATCAGCGTATCTAATATGGATAATCCTAATCCGTAATACACATACAAAATAACAAAAGGTGTAGTTTGACGCATGCGCAGCAACCCATTTTGGCATCGTTTGTATGATTGAAGCAGACGGAAATAGCTTGTAACAAGATACAGACGAGGTTGAATCGTCTGCTGGAAAACAAAGATCACTGTTCATACAGGTGAACGAAGCTTTATTCTCAGAAACAACAAGAACAACAACTAACCCTAAACCTACTGAATTTGTGTAATGGAGTTGCCCGGCTTTGAATTTGGAACCTTCCATTCATAATTTAAGGGATTTCAACATAAAAATACGAAACAATTGAGCTACCAACAGTATAGAGCCTGGCAAGACTTCACGGAAGTTCAGGCTGGTCTGGCTCTTTACGGGTGGCAAAGGCTAATCTGTTCCAGCAATAGCTTCACTACTGGTGAATCATTGTGCACATGCGCTATGAATAATTCTAATGCTATTAATTTTAAACATATGCACATTCTTGCAAATGATTCTCTTAAGCCTATAAGCCTGAATGAAAAATAATTTAATGAATGAAAACAGCATTGTTTAAATATTATAATGATGATAAAGTTACTTTTTGTAGTTTATTTTTTTAATAAGCAATATGATCATTATTCAATTAACAACAAAATCGATCTTTTTAATTAAGGTATATATTTGGTGATATTTAAAGATTGAATTTTAACCAGTGCTTATATTATACATGTACATGTATAAAAAAAACTGTCATAAATCTCTTGAAAAAAATAATATTGTTGACCATTAATCCTTTAAAGACGCAAAACATTATTTAAATTTATATGAAAACAAAATATAATCCAATGTATGCTACATCTTTAACATAATCATATTTTCAAGATCTCATTTATATACGAGAACTTGATGAATATGCCCTATACGTACAGTAAGAAGCTTTTCTTGTTGTTTTTCCCACGTCTTTCTATATGTACACCACATACAGTAATTACATGCACCCATAATCGTTATTGTCATTGAAATGGCAAATGATATTCAAAATATGTAATTGCTATTATCATTTCTCGTGTTCAAAATATATTTTTTGTCTTGTGCCGTTATAATACATTGTATATATGTTAAAGCCAAATAAACATTGAAATTGAAAAAAAAAAGAATTTGAATTAAAGCATGAGCTAGCATTCAATTAACATTACTATGATTGAGTTCTTCTACCATATATAAATATGAATCTTAAACATTGTAAAATGAACTTAAGTTTAAACACTTTGTGGTCAGTTGCATTACTTGAATACAGAACAGAACAGAGTTTATTTGAGCCGCGTCACGACAAAACCAATATAATGGGTTTGCGACCAGCATTGATCCAGACCAGCCTGCGCATCCGCGCAGTCTGATCAGGATCCATGTTGTTCGCTATCAGTTTGTCTACTTGTAATAGGGTTTGTAAGCGAACAGCATGGATCCTGATCAGACTGCGCGAATGCGCAGGCTGGTCTGGATCCATGCTGGTCGCAAACGTACTATGTTGGTTTTGTCATGACGCGGCTCATTTCATATCTTGTACACACATATATCATTGATACTGGTATTGATTATCTAATCTTTTGATAATCTAAAAGGCACAGATGTCAAGAACGCAAAAAAAACGCTGTACGTATATGCGAAACGCCAAAAGAAAAGACCCAAAAAAAAAATCCCCAAACACACAGACAAACAAACAAACATACACGCAAACAATTAAAAAAATAATGAAAAAATAATAATTATAATTTTATGAATTATATAATAGATACATACAAATCTATATTCTAGAATATTATATTACTATTTAAAATAGATATATTTATGACTAAAAAATGCACCGTACCTTAAACTTTTTAAGTCACTTCTCATATGCAAGTTTTTTTCCATATAAAGCATTTAAAACAAAATTTTAAGGTCAAGACTTGTTGATAAAGTATCGATACTAAAATCTTATAATAAACGCTCTTATATAATAATATAATCCGGTTTAAAATTGTAAGAAATCGTAAGTTTGTATACATATTACAACGACTTTATGATTTTAACTCTGATCCAAAGGCATTGTAAGTCATTTGTCATTCAAACCGGCTGTAAGTGGTCCTAATTAAAAGGTTTGTTTGTATAACAATTAATGGTACTTCAAAAATGACCATTTTATGACTTCTGTGGTGGCATTAAGTGGATAGAATTAAGGTTGTGCACACGTCTTTCGGCCATACGCGCAACTTTACTTTGTTATCTGTATTTTATTAATTATAAAGTTTTTTTGAGAGGTTATCAACAATCGTTTTTATATGGTCATATGCTAGTAACCTGTCAAAGGTCTTTATAATAAATGTATATGGTATTAAAAAGTAAACAACATAAAAGTTTCATTTTTTGTAATAACGTTACTGTGTGATTGATCCAAAACAATCTTATGATTGATGATGATTGTTATGAGGAGAATTATAATGACGATGACGAAAACGACGATGGTTATGATGATGATGTTGCTGCTGCTGCTGATGATGATAATGATGATGATGACAATGGTGATGATGATATTAATAATAATGTTGATGACGACGACGACGATGATGATGATAATAATAATTATTATAATAGTGACGATGACGACGACGATGACGACGACGACGGTGAATGATGACGATGATGATGATAATGACGATGATTATGATAATAATAATAATGTGATGACGACGACGACGATGATGATGATTATAATGATTATTATAATAGTGACGATGACGACGACGAGGGTGAATGATGATGATGATGATGATGATGACGATGTTGTGAATGATGATGATGATGATGATGATGATGATGATGATGATAATGATGATGGTGATGATGATGATGATGATGATGATGATGATGATGGTGATGATAATGAACCATTCACCACCACTAATAAAACGATTACATGTAAGCAATTTATTAGTAAATTGTGTCTTATACCAGAATACGTTGTTTTATTTCATGCTTTCCAGTGATTTATTGTAATATATCAGATGATTATATTCTGATAAACCACTAGTGAAATTTATAAAATATAATTTTCACTGTAGCCGGACTATATCTGAATGCGGATGAAAAGAAAATCAAAACTGAATGGAATAACAGGCAAAAATAAATGCCGTCATGCGTAAATTTTGCTTCTTTCGAAAAAGAAAGTCGATGTCACCATACATTATGTTAAAAATGTAACAAAATTAGAGAAATTTAACAGAACTATATTTCAAACTTGTTGATGTGACGTCATGATGTGATGACGTCACGAAGGAAAATGCGCGACGTTACGCGGCAAAATCAGTAAAAATTACTTGAAATCACTTAAAACGCATGAAATAAAAAGAAAATTTATTTGTTTTACAAATAAGATTGAAATATATTTCATTCGTGAACACCAGCTATTATATTTTCACTCGTGGCTACGCCACTCGTGAAAATATTGCATCTGGTGTTCACTCAGTGAAATAATATTTCAATCTTACATGCAAAACAAACAAATATCCTCTATATATTAAAATTAGAACCTTTTCAAATTTTTCTTTTCATTTTGAAAGTAAGTTCAGGTATTAAAACATTCAGAAAGTGTAGCCTCAATCAATTTTTGTGAAGAATGTTATTAAAACATCATTCAAATATGTTAATATAGCAAATATTTCAATTTGCAATTTTTATTTTCAATTATACTCCTAATCGTTTATGAATGGCGTATTGAAAAGAGGTGAAACGGGTTTTATTAAAAAGTTCATGATGGTATTTGACACACGGGTGCAAATAAAATCGAAAAACCAGTTATAGAATATTTTTCATTTTGCGATAATATCTACTATTGGTGTAAATGTATATATTATAAGGACATGAGTTCATTTTCAGAGAATTTAGTTAATAAAGAATTGTTGAAGAACAGAAACGAATTCCCTTTAAGGCCCATTAAGATCCCAAAAATGACACATTTCTATCACTACAAACTTTTTATTTTTTGATGACCTACTTTAGTTTCTAAAATGTTACTTATTGGATATATAGCCGAACCATCCCTTGCTTCATTTGCATTTTCGGATAAAGTACTTTGATAGTGATTTGTTATTTTGAGTAGTAGTCAAAACACAACTTTGTTTACTCCCTATTTTCTACTTTTATGAAAAAAAATTTCACAATCGACAGAAAACAGCAGCAGTACAAACAGCAATAAAACAACAACTTTTCAACAAAAACGCAGACAAACAATTGTTTGAAAGTTCGTTTCCAGTCCTAATTAATATTCTAATTACATAGCAGATAGTGCAAAATACTCTTCTGCAACGTGGCATTATCAAATTTGAATAAAGGCAATAATTTTTCTGAGCTTTGAATGGATACCAAATATTCTTCTATAATGTCACAATATCAAATACATGTATGTGAAAAAAGATCTATGTTTACTACATGTATGTACTTTGCACCAATACCCAATATTTTGCTGCAACGTAACATCATGAAATGCAAATAAATGCATATAATCATAAACTTTGCTTCAATGCCTAATATTCTTCTATAACGTAACATTTTCAAACGTGAATAAAGACATATTATTATCATGAAATTTGCATAGATACCAAATATTCTTCTACAACGTGACATTGTCAAAATGCGAATAAAGTCATATCATTAGTGTAAACTTTGCATAAATACCAAATATTCTTCTACAAAAGTAATATTATCAAATGCGAATAAAGGCATTCAATTATTATGAACTATGCATATAGAGGATATTTATTTGTTTTGCATGTAAGATTGAAATATAATTTCACTGAGTGAACACCAGATGCAATATTTTCACGAGTGGCGTAGCCACGAGTGAAAATATAATAGCTGGTGTTCACGAATGAAATATATTTCAATCTTATATGTAAAAACAAATAAATTTTCTTTTTATTTCATGCTTTTTGAGTGATTTTAAGTACTTTTTACTGATTTTGCCGCGTAACGTCGTGCATTCTCCTTTGTGACGTCATCACATCATGACGTCACCTCATCAATTTTGAAATATAGTTCTGTTAAATTTCTACAATTTTGTTACAT